GATGGCTGGCGAGCGCAGCGGCGGTGGCAGGAGCCTCTCCTGCCTCTGCTGTAGGTGGCGGTAAGGAGCGAGGGGTCCTGGACTGCGAGAGGGACGTCTGACTGCGGGCTTAGGCCTGCTCCCTGGGAAGTGGGCCTAAGCCGGCAGTCAGACAACCTCCAAGTGGTGCCGGACTGCGAGATTTCACAGTGGGCCTCTTCATGCACTGGGCCTCTAGTTGAAGATAAAGCCCTAACCGATTTGGTTCAGTGGATAAAGTGTCAGCCTGCAGATTGAATGGTCCTGGGTTCGATTCTGGTCAAGGGCACATACCTTGGTTGCAGGCTCCTTCCCGGCCCAGACCTTGGTCAGGGCTTGTGCAGGAGGCAACCAATTGATGCGTTTCTCTCACATCTATGTTTCTGTCTTTCCCTCTTTTCCACTCCCTAAAAAATCAATGGAAAAGTACCCGTGGGTGAGGGTTAACAAGACAAAAAAAATAAATAATTGAAGATATTATATACAGTAATAAATAGTTTTTGCCCTGGCAGGTGTTGCCCAGTGAGTTGGGTGTTGTCCCATGCACCGAAAGGTTACTGGTTCAGTTCCTGGTCAGGGCACATGCCCAGATTGCAGGTTTGATTCTCGATAGGAAGGATGAAGGATGAAGGAGGCAGCCAATTGATGTTTCTTCTCTCTCCCTTTCTGTCTAAAAAAATCAATATTTAAAACCATTAAAAAAAGAATTTTCAAAGAATCAAATCTACTTCTTAAAGTTCAGAACCTACCACTTAAATTTATGAGTTTTTTCCATTTATAAAACTAGAGGCCCGATGCACAAAAATTTGTGCACTCGGGGGGTCCCTCAGCCTGGCCTATGCCCTCTTGCAGTGTGGGACCCCTCGGAGGATGTCCACCCCATGGGACCCTGTGGGACCCTGACCCCATGGAGGTTTGGCCAGCCTGGGTGAGGGGCTGAGGGCCGTTTTCAGGCTGGCCAAGCACCCTGGCGACGTAAGCTCCCAGCCTCTCCTTTTTTTCTTTTTTATTCTGGGATTTATTTACCTTCTATAATTGAAACTTTGTTGCCTTTAGCAGAGGCCTGCAGAAAGCTTGGCTTCCTCCGTCTCCAGGGGCCACCCACTCCTGCTCGCTCCAGCTCCGTGGCTGCGGCTGGCTGAAAGCAGGTATCTGGGGTTTGTTTACCTTCTATAATTGAAACTGTTGCTTTCAGTGGAGTTCAGAGCCAGGCCATGGCAGGCAGGGAACCTTGGCTTCTTCCATCACTGGAGCAAGCAAGCCTCCTGCTTGCTCCAGCTCCGTGGCTGCCGGCCGCCATCTTAGTTGGGTTAATTTGCATATAGTCGCTCTGATGGGCTGGTGGGTGTGGCTTGAGGCATAGCAAAAGTAAAATCAATTTGCATGTTTGTCTTTTATTAGTATACTAGAGGCCCGGTACACAAAAATTTGTGCACTCGGGAGGAGGGGGGTCCCTCAGCACAGCCTGTGCCCTCTCACAGTCTGGGACCTCTCAGGAGATAACGACCTGCTGGCTTAGGCCTGCTCCTGGGTGGCAGAGGGCAGGCCCACTCCCTAGGTGCAGCCTCTGGTTGGGCTCAGAGCAGGGCCGATTGGGGGGGTGGGGCGCTGC